ATGCTGGTGAGTGTCAAATGTAACACGAAACGGCCGTCCAGTGCTTTCTGCATTCTGTAGAGGTTTCTTCTAGACTCGAAGAATTACTTAATTTTATATATATATATTGACATCTAGGTCCTACCCTTTTACTGTTGAATTAGGCAAATGCAACCCCCACTTCTACTCCAACAGTTTCTTTTCTCGCACTTCCTGCCTGTGGAAGTCCTTTCCGTTTCATTGCTTCCCTGATAAATAAAATCTTCAAAAATTTAAATGCAACGTCAATCACCATCTTCTATCTTCTTGAACCCTATTCAACTTTTATCCTTTCCTCGGTCCCACGTCTACCCAGTTTTTTTCTCTCACCATCACTTCCTGTAACCTCTTACGCACTAGTGACATTCCCGCCTTGCTTGCGGTGAAATGCTTAAAAATAAATTATATATAAATATATATATATATATATAAAATAAATATATATATATATATATGTGTGTGTTGTGTGTGTGTGTGTGTGTGTGTGTGTGTGTGTGTGTGTGTGTGTGTGTATAAATATATATATATATATAATTATTTATATATTATATGCAATGGTACTTATTAGAAAGCGCTCAATATCAGAGACAGAGCTAACATATTTGGATCGCTAAAGCGTGAAACACAGGGTCGCAAACTCACATCTATCCAACCAAATATATATATATATATATATATATATATATATATATATATATATATATATAGTAAAGGTAATAAATCCGTTGGTATATAATCCAAGTGGATCATAATAATATAAAATATTAAAATATTAAAAGTGATCCACAAAAAGAGCTCAATGTATTCATTATTACAGAGCAAAAATTAATACAGAATAAAATCCAAAATCACCTTATATGGGGAATAAGCTTATTTCGACCGACGAAAAATATAATTCGTCAGTTTTATTCAACCCCGTTCGTGTCAGAAAAAGAAATTTAACTGTGAAATCTATAAAGAAAACGTCGGAAAACTAATACAGATTTTATCCATTTCAATGTTTCAATCAGACGAAAGGCACGAGACAATGTGGAAGGCATTTTTCTTAAAGGGAAGAGGCTTTATATAATTAAACCCGGATAGCAAGATTTAAAGTTATTATTCGAATCGCTCAAGACATCTCCGAAGTTCTGTTATTGATGTAATGTTTAAATATAAAGTTAAGAATTGAATTATGTTCAAGGATTGTTGTCATGTTTTAACTTCGTCTGTATTTCAAGTTAATTTAAATATATCGTCAACTTAACAGGTGAGAATTGTTGGCTTAAGGTGTTTAAAATTTCGTTTACTAACTTTGGCATATTGAATTCTGATAATGTTAAAACAATAGGCAAACCCAAAGCGATGCTATCAGTTTGTGTAAATAATTGCTCTTAAAAATTAACTTGTGATAGTGACAGGCAGTTGAGGTTTTATTGGTTTTCGCTTTGATGGCGGAACTGAAGAGTGTTTATAAAGATTGTTAATTAGCGATATACAGCTATATACACATACACACGCGCGTACACACACGCCCACACACACACTCACACACATACACACACCCGCACGCACACACACGCACACATGTATGTGCGTATGCATGTTATAACCTTGGAAATATGTTATCAAATGTGCCTTAGGTTAATCTTAAACATCAAGTGGCACCAGGAGAAGGACAAATAAGAGATTGCCTAAACACCTTTTTTTAAGGAGTTCGTTCTCGGTAATGCCCCAAATAAAAAGCCAAGAAACGTTTTTTGTCCTGGGTATGACGATAAACTACATCCGGCAGCAAGGATTGGGAAGTTTTGGGGAGTATGGAACCACCTCTTAATTGCTGTTGTTCCCAGGTCCACCCTGACCCGAGGTGGTAGCACCTGTTAGGGCCCCAGCTATGGGAAAATAGTGAATATGCCCAAACTGGGGTCAAAGCACTATAAAAGTATAAAAGTAGAGTTTTATAGTAAAAATACCAGCAATACGTTTTTTTAAAAAAATACTATCAACAATAGATTTGACTTTCGCCAAAAACCCTCTTTACAAAAATACATCAACGAACGAAACCTGATCTAAAAAGTGATTTCTTAGAAAGAATGAATATTCTATTCATACGAACCTATCATAAAAATCTTGTCATTAAATAAACCATTGAGGTGTTGATATGCCGGAAAAGAAAATAAACCAAGAAACGTTTCAAGGGTGTTGTTAAAAACAACGTTGAAAATCTTGAAATTAGTGTCAAAGACAAGGAAAAAACAGCTGAAGTGTGGTTTGAGAAAGCGAGGATTTGAGGATTTCAATGAGGTCAAAAGGGTTGAGCATTTGACGTTGAAAAGTGATCTTAGGAAAAGGGATGTAGACGAGAGCTGAGATGACATTTCAGTCTGAGCTTTTATGTAACATCTACGGGAAGACTGTTCAATTTAGTACCGGATTTGCTTGCCATCTAAGATCTCGTGAAAATCGGCGGTCTACTACGGATATGGACTAACAGACCTGCAGAGTATCTATGCCAATTTTGTGATAAAATTCGCAGACCCGACGCCTGGCTAATGCCGCACATGAGAGTACACTAAGAGAAAGTCAATTTCAAGACACGTGTTTCAAATATGTAGCAGCAAGGCTGGTTTGCAAAGTCATCTCTGGCTCATGGCCATTCAGCTCAACGTTGAAGAGATGGCCTTCTTTTGTAAAGAAGTGAAAGTGGACATAATGTACACTCTTGTCCAAATTAATTGAAAGAACCGTTTTAGTTTCCATTCTTTTACCATATGGTCTGTTTTAGACCCACATACATAGATACATACATACATAAAAAATACCGGCTACTCGTTTCTCAGCGAATCCGTCTGCTAGGCCGATTAGCCAATCCCTGTTGTAGAAGCCGACTAAGGCACATTTGTGTTTGTTTAATATGCACGGAGGATACCTCTGGTTAAATCTGAAACTATGCTGATCGGACCAGAGTTACAGTTTCTAGTAGAGAGCGCATCATCTTGTGAATTTAACAAGGCATTACGCTCAAACCCTCAGTCATGATGATTGTGATTTCGTGCTAGTATAACCATCGACAGCTTCTGAATAATTCCATCGACCCAATTTCAAACTTGAGTCCTTCTTTTCGGTGCGTCTATTGTTTTTTATGCCTTTTCGTTTTTTGATTTTTAAATATTTCTATACGATCTCCTTATACAAATTCCAAGAGCCGCTCAAGCTAGAGGGTTACTGAATAAAGTTTGTTGTTAGGGTGTAAAGAGAGGAAGTTAGAAATGCATATTATAAGAATATATATAAGTTAGATAACGGTTGAGCCTGGATATGAAGAGATTAAGATCGTAGTGATCGGGAAAGCATCCTCTCGGGAGTCTGTTTTCGTACGCTATTGTTCACCTAATACGAGGCCTAAGAGGATTAGTGAATAAGGTTGTTGAAAGGGCGGAAGATGAGTAAGTAAGAAGTGCATATTATGAGGATATGTAGGATATATAACGGTTGACTTAAATTTGAAGTGGTTAAGATTGTAGGAATCGAGGAAGCATCCTCTTGGGAGTCTGTTCCACAAAGTAAAAGTTCTGGGAAAGAAGCTTTGTCCTTAACAGTGGAATACGAAGGGAATGAGGATGATTCGAACCTGTGTACATGGTATAGCTGGTCCTAACTGAAAAGATTTGAGTTGGTGGAACTAAGAAATGGCGATCGTCTTAACATTTTCATGAAAATAGCGATAAACATCCAGAAGCGTCTCTTCTGCGAGAAAGCGGTTGTAGAATGGAAAATAAAGCATCAGTTTTTACTTAAACTCAGAAAGAGAACATAATTTGTTTTTCTATTTCATTTTTTTAAACATGCAAGAGACAATCCTAACAGCAAATATCATTCGCCCGAAAATTGAATCATCGAAAGCGTTAAATCGAATTTTCACTTGACCGAATAAACAAAAGTGTGAAAATTAAAGGGAGATAACTTTCATATCTGACTAGTCCTTTTTAAAAGCGTGTTTCATTTAAAAGTACACGCGTTAATTCTATTGTTGTTTATTTACGATAATGAATACTTTTTCTATAAATTTATCACTAAATTTCATTTAAATAATAATACCGCTTAGTATTTTGGTCTTATTCTAGGAATACTTAGAAACGAGAAAAAAATTGATGAAGAAACAAACCCACCTAAATATTTATCCTATCCATGCATAGATAAATTAAATATTTAACCCTTGGAGCCCAGCGTTCCTGAACAATTTTAACCCCTCTACCAGATCTCCTGAGTCAAAATTCGCAAATAATTGGTATGTAATGTTTCATGGTTGATATAAAAATAGTTACAAGTGTTTCCTCACCGTTCAACCGGTGGTTAGGCATTAAGTTTTTTTTCTCTACCACCGGTAAAGCGGTGGTCAAGGCTCAAAGGGTTAAAATGTCCTCTGTATTAACTCATATTACATTTACTGTTTTAATGTTTATATTTCCTTTCTTTCTTTCTTTCTTTCTTTCTTTCTTTCTTTCTTCTTCCTTCTCTTCTTTTTCTCATCTTCATTGTTAGATGTTAGGCTAACTGCATCTCTACTTATTGCGTTTGTTTGTCGCTTTCTTTTCTTTTCTTTTCTTTCTTTCTTTCTTTCTCATTCTGGGTTTGTTTTTCTTTCTTTCCTTCCTTCTTTTCTCTCAGCTCCTATCTTTTTCTTTGTTTCTTTTATTCTTATTTTAATATTTATATGTTATCGTTTTTTATTTATTTATTTTTTTTGTTTTTGCCCGACAAAAAAGACACTTCCCTGGCTTTAACAGATTTCAAGATTAAACAATCCTCTTAAAAAAACCAACCGACTTGATTTAATTATCATTAATTATCGTAAATAAGTCACAATCGAATTAACAGGTGTAATCGTTAAGAAAAGTATCATTCAGATATAAGATTTATCTCCCTTTTCGACGAAGTGAAAATTCTGTTTAACGTTTAAGGCGAATTTTTTATTGATCTTTTTTGTATTGTTTACTTACCGTCTCATGAAATTCAACCAATTGTCAATGGATTTGGTTTCGATGGAACTTTTGCAGACTTCCAGATTGCAGAGAGGATAGTAATGCAGATAACTGACACACATTTCATCACTGATTGCAAATCCACCCTGAATTAGAAACAAAAGATTTTTTCCTATAATTGAGACGAATTGGTCATTTCTCTAGCAAAGTATTTTCTCGTGGTTTGATGCAAACAAATACAAAACTAAAACAATGAAAAAGGAAGGAAACGAAAAAGAAAGAAAGGAAGAAGAAGGCACAAAAAATGAAAACAAATGAATTAATGCATAATTTAGAAAGGAAGAAAAAGTTTCTTTCTTTCTCTTTCTTAAAATTTAAAACAAAAGTAAAACGAAAAACATGAACATAAAGATAAATGAAAGAAACAACTGACGTAGAAAGAGAAAAAACATTAGAAAGAAAGAATGAATGAATGAATGAATGCATGAATGAATTTTGAAAAGAAAGAATGAAAAAAGAAAGAAAAAGACAAACTGAGAATAAGAAAAGAAAGAAAGAAAAGAAAAGAAAGAAAGAAAGAAAGAAAGAAAAAAAAAAAGAAAGAATGAAAGAATGAAAGAAAAGAAAAGAAAGAAATAAGATGGAAAAGAAAGAAGAAAAAGAAAGAAAAATGAAGATGAGAAAAGAATGAAAGAAAAAAAAAGAAAGAAAGAAAGGAATAAGAAAAAAGAAAGAAAGAAAGAAAAAAGAATGAGAAGAATGAATGGAGCAAAATGAATGAATTTTGAAAAGAAAGAAAGAAAAGAAAGAAAAAAAAGAAAGAAAGAAAAAAGAATGAAAAGAAGCTGAGAAGAAGAATGATAAAATAAGAAAGAAAGAAAGAAAGAAAGAAAAGAAAGAAAGAATGAAAGAAAGAAAAAAGAAAGAAAAGAAAGGAATGAATTTTGAAAAGAAAGAATAAAAGAAAGAAAAAGCAGCTGAGAAAAAGAATGAAAGAAAAACAAAGAAACTCGGAATAAGAAAGAAAGAAAGAAAGAAAGAAAGAAAGAAAGAAAGAAAGAAAGACAATAAGATGAATGAATGAATTTTGAAAAGCTAAAAGAATAAAAAGAAAGAAAAAAGCAGCTGAGAAAAAAGAATGAAAGAAAAAAAAAAAGAAACTCGGAAAAGAAAGAAAAAAGAAAGAAAGAAAGAAAAAGAAAGAAAAGAAAAAAAAAGAAAGAAAGAATGAGTGAGGAGGAGAATGAATGAATGAATGAAAGAAAGAAAAAAGAAAAAGAAAAAAAGAAAGAAAAAGCAGCTGAGAAAAAGAATGAAAGAAAAAAACAAAAAAATGAAATAAGAAAAGAAAGAAAGAAAAAGAAAGAAAGAAAGAAAGAAAGAAAGAAAGAAAGAATAGGAGCCGAGAAGAAAGAATGGAGCAAATACAGACTACGAAAGAAAGAAAGAAAGAAAGAAAGAAAGAAAGAAAGAAAGAAAGAAAGAAAGACAATAAGATGGAAAGGAAGGAAGAAAGTTAGCCTAACAGCTAACAATGAAGATGAGAAAGAGAAGTGAGGAGGGAGAAAGAAAGAAAGAAAGAAAGAAAGAAAGAAAGAAAGAAAGAAAGGAGCTGATAAAGAAAGAAAAGACAGAATAAGAAAAAAAGAAAGAAAGAAAGAAAGAAAGAAAGAAAGAAAGAAAGACAAAGAAACATAATAGGATGGAAAGAAGGAAGAAAGTTAGCCTAACAGCTAACAATGAAGATGAGAAAGAGAAGTGAGGAGAGAAAAAGAAAAAGAAACAAACTCAGAATAGGAAAGAAAGAAAGTTCAAAGAGTTGGGAGAGAAAGAAAGTTCAACACAAGATTCTAGGGAGCGGTAAATCTTTGATGCTTTCTATCATTCGGAGAATCAAGTTAATGTCAAAGATAAAAAAAAAAAACTTTTACTCCTAAAAAATAATGAGACTGCTTTACAGGCATACGGCCATTTTCGTATGCTCATGAAAAATTTGTAAAACAAAAGAAATGGTCTCTGAAGTTGTGTGCGTGTACGTGTGTCTGTACGTGAGCCTGTATCTGTTCAGACGCGGGTGTGTATTCTGTGTGGAAGCGTGAAGACACTGAAACGTTACTCCAACTCAATGACTGTTTATCTTTTATGACTCGAACCTACGAAAACGTATATAAAATATGGCCTAATAAGAATACAGACACAGATGCTTTTTTTCAGAGACACGAGTGTGTGACAATTTTTCCTATAACAATGAGGACAGGTATAGTCTCCTTAGAGCTGCAGGGGTTCTGTCTCTTGACGGAAATATTTTGGAACAGACACAGTTTTGGAAATTTCACGTCTTTCGGAATGGCAATATGCACAGTCTGATACTCGAAAATTCCGGAAAATTAAGGCACAACATGTTCTTTAGAAAAAGATTAGTTTTTCATAGGAGTTTATTTATTTCTTATTGCAGTCATTTCGAGACACGAGAGACGCTGGATAACTTGACAACAGCGTAGATTAATCAATCCAAATTCGTGAACATTTGGTTAACATCCGATATTCTTGAATATAAGACGCGTCTTATTAGTTGACCAAAAGATTTGAGTTCGTCGAAAGACAATTATGCTTCCATTGATTCTTTTTTACGGCTCATTATTATTATTATTATTATTCTGATTATCATCATGTTCACTTTGTCAGGAAGGTGACTTCTTAATGTTATCGGTGTAGGAAGGGGCGATCCCAGCGTGGTGGCAACTTTAAAAAGTGATTATACCACGGGTTGACCTAAGCCTTGTGAGTTAAATTGGCTAGACGGAATTCTTTGGGAGCTGTCGATGGTTATGCTAACACGAAGTAACAAGTCATCGTGACCGAGGGTCTGAGTGTACTGGCTTTGTTCCGACTGTTCATCATGACAGATAATGCAAGCCCCCACCCCCGAAACTGTAACTAAGGTCCACTCAGTATATTTGCAGTATAAACCTTAGGTAGGCTTTTTTGGTGTTGAACAAACACAAGTGTTCCTGAGCTGGCGTCTGCATTAGTGATTGTCTAGCCACAGAAGACAGGCACACTCAGATATGAGTGGTCAGCCATTACTTACTTAATGTAAACAAAACATGAAAAGGAAATGGCAGATTAAATTTTGCAGTAACAGTGCAATTTTAACCTAAGGAGTGTCAGGCAGCGCAAATATCTGAAAATGGACGTTAGAGAGATGAAGAAGTTAACAACTACTGACCTAAGACCGAATTTAGCACAAATTATAAGTTTAGGAAACAACCAACGAGGAATGTGTTCACTAACACACAATTTACGACAAACAGAGACTTCAGTGACTACATATTCGACGCAAATGTTTTGTCTCTAATACAATTATCTCCAAATTCAAGAAATTAAATAATAAGAAGAATAACAAAAATACGTAATATTCAAAAGAAGTATCTACGTCTCTGCCTGAGTTAACGTCAATATTTCCATCAGCTCAGGCCCAAGAGCTTCTATGGTCTGATCTTGACTACCACTTGGCCGCTCCCGCCACAGCTTACTCCCAGTAATTGATCCTGGGAATGATCCCTCTCTTGACACTGTATGAATAGTAGGAATTGAAGTTGAAGTATTGCCCGGTGAAGGTTGGCTTGTGATATATAGATATTTTGAACCCCTTCTCTGTGCGAGTTATTAGTACATCCAGAAAGGCTAGCTGATTATTTTCTTCTATTGTGAACTGGACTGAAACTCTTATTGGGTTTCATATGGTCATGCAGTATTTTTACAACTTCCTGGTGTGACCAGAGTATGGAGGTATCATCTACGTACTTCAGTTATACTGCTAGTTTCGCTGTTGCCGCCCGTAAAGCCATTTTCCCGAAATATTCCATGTCTATGTTCGCTATCACTTGTGACAACGGCGAACCCATAGCCAAACCTTCCTGCTATTGATATATATATATATATATATATAAAAAAAATCTAGTTGGAAGAATGTTGCTTGTACACAGAACATCAACATTTCCATTAGATTACCTATAGGAATTTTAGTACGTTCTCCCAGAAATGGAACTGATTCCACTATCAGAACCTCATCTGGAGGAACTTTAATGAACAGGTTCACAATATTTGTTTATTGTTTTGAATATATATATATATATATATATATATATATATATATATAGAGAGAGAGAGAGAGAGAGAGAGAGACATTTTAATCTTTTATCTGCGGTTCTCTTATGCATTTAAAGCAAAAACATACAAGCTAAAGTCTGGTAGCTTCTATGGTTTGACCCGGTGATTGCTTGGCTGTTCCTGTCATAGCTTATATCTGGTAACTGGCGTTGCTATAATGCAAACAAGACATAAAAGCCTAACATTAACTATGCTTCATTTGACAGTGCGTCTATAACATTAGATGGAGGGGGGGCTACTAAATCGCAGAAACATCGGAAACGGGAAGCAAGAGAAAAATTTTAAACACCATTGTGTCTGCAAATATGTACAAATCTGGAAATACAATAAAACTGAAATCAGTGGAAAATTAAAGAAATTCTACTCACGATAGTGGCTTTCGTCCTCTGGGTTGTATCATATTCACAAGTGGTTACCAATGCATCTCCCTGAAAAGCAATCATAACAAGGTTTTTTGAAACACATATAATTTTGTCAAAGTTTAACAAATGTGACCGAAAAAAAAATCTCTAAAAATGTAGATTTGTCTCCTGACATCGCTTTTTATTGTAATCTTCCTCTGTAATTCTCAATATTTTAAAAAAGCTATTTTTAGAATTTTAATAAAACTCAAAAATGAAACTGAATTTATCTAATTTTTCCCTTAAGAATTGACAAGAACAAAAGGTTATATATTATTTAACTATTAAGTTTTTTTTTATTTGCAAGAAATTTTTTTTATTTTTACAAGCTGATAAAATATATGAACCGACTACCATACAATATTTATTATATACAATGCAATAAAGAAATATCTACGAAAAGATTTTTTTATTCATAAATTTATAAAAATGTCTGTGAAGAAAAGAACAAGAAAATTTAATAAATACATAACGCTGAGTAACGGTCATTATTAATTTTGAAAAACTGCATTTGCCAGGCAGTTCTTTCATGTTCTCTCGCCGCATGAAGTCACGAAAACAGTTTGTTAGCCTCTGGATTTATACTTCTTCATCTCGAGAAATGACAACAAAAATGTTAAACTTTATTTGTTTATTAGATTGTTTATTTAAAAAAGAAATGTTTTGGCAAAGTTTAATAAAAGTATCCGTGAAAAAAGGAGCATACAGTTCAAGTGATCACAAGAGAAAAACTGTACTTTTGGCACTGTGAAGCTTTGTTTATTTTGCTTTTTTGTTTTTTTTTTTTTTTTTTGGTTTGGGTTTGTTTTTTGTTTTTTTTGTTTTTTTTTTTGCCATTTTATTTATTTATTTGTTTTTGTTGTTTCTTGTTGTTTTTTGCTATTTTATTTATTTGTTTTTTTTTTCTTTTTTACTATTTTATTTATTTGTATGATTCTTGTCTTTTTGCTATTTTATTTATTTGTTTGTTTTTTGTTTTTTCTGTTTTAGTTATCTATTTTTTTTTTTTTGGTTTTTTGCTATCTTATTTGCTTGCTTTGTTTTTAGTTTTTTGATATTTTATTATTTGTTTGTTTTTGTATTTCCCTATTTTCTTTATTTCTTTGTTTTTTGTCTTTTTTGCTATTTTATTTATTTGTTTCCTTGTTTTTTTCTTTTTGCTATTTTGTTTGTTTTTGTTTGAAATTTTATTTATATGTTTCTTTGTTTATATTTTTGCTATTTTATTTATTTCTTTGTTTTGTTTTTTTGGATTTTTTGCTATTTTATTTATTTTTTGTTTTTTTTTTTTTTTTTTTGTTTTTGTTTTTGTTTTTTTATATTTAATTTATTTGTTTTTTTTGGGGGGGTATGTTTGTTAAACTTTTCCTAACCTTTAAAGTTAACTTTAGCGTACCATTAATCTTAATATGATCATTTTTCCCCTTTTCTTTAATCCATTAAGTTCACATAAAAGTTCGGTATTAAATATAAAAATTAAAATAAAAATCCAATATTAATTATAGATTCTAAAACAAAACTTCGGTATTAATTCTACGCTTCCACTAGAACTCAATAATACCTGCCGTCTCATTTTGACAAAGGTGAGTATTCCTGAATGAATGTAAACCCTTCCAAAAACATCGTTTCTTTTTTAAAGGCTCCCTTTTACAAAGGCAAGTTGTTAATCTATGTTTTCATAAAACGTTTCTCTTGAGGGAGTCAAGATATTCAGGGAAACCTTGAAATGTGTAAATTAATTAATTAGTAATTCATTTTTCCAAGAGCTAATCACTGCTAATAACCATTCAGACAACTTATTCTATGTCTTCTGGGAGAGCAGGCAATAACATGCAGAAGTATATTTTTTTTAGTTTTATAAAACTATTAAATCAATTTTGAAATCGAATCAATAAAAATTGGTTATACAAATCCAAGTCATATGAAGCCAAGAAAGAGGTTTAACCAAGAATTTGTTCTGCAATATTCTTCAGTTTCTACTTAACAAAAATGATTTCAAATTTCGCAAATGATGCAGTGTGAAGCACCGTCGGGAAAGAAAAAACAAAAAAAATGTTCAATAGAGAGGTTATAAGAGCCAACAATTTTTTTTTTCTACTGCTAGTCCTCAAGGTACTACGTTAGGCAAAAAAAAAAAAAGAGGCAATCAGGAAAAAAAATGGGCCGGTACCGTCACTGAGTAGACGGGAAGATTATTCACAGAGACTCAGACATTATCACGGCCCGGATATTTGTGGAGTGAACTGGTCAGATACTTAGATAAACATGACCCTAGAAACACATCATGAAACTGAAGACGACGACGACGACGACGACGACGATGATGATGATGATGATGATGGTGTCAAATTGCCTGTCTCTCTTGAGTTTGGATAATCTTTGTAAATCGAAACCGATTTAGATAAATTCTTGTTTTTACTTCTCCTACAAAGAATCCTTTCAAAAGGAATTATAACAGATGAATATATTTCGTTTTTTTCATTTTCTTTAAAAGCCTGGTGTTGAATTTAAAAATTAGATACAAATTCTAGAGAGTATTTAGATGTACACAATGATATTAATTTTATTAGTATAATTCAAGTTTTATGTCAAATCGTCGCCTATATAATGATCATATTCAGCCGATCAATTTGAAACGAGTACCCAGCCATTATATATATATATATATATATATACTGTTATATTGGAACATGCAAGTTACTACTACAAAATTGCATATTTTGTTTCGACGTTTAAACACGTCTCATCAGGTAGTCAACAATGATGGTAATAAATGATTTTATTTAAAATGACAATTTATGAAACATAATTTCTTTTTACATTTTTGGAAAATTTTTCATAATTTTTTTTTAAATATAAAAAATGTAATATTGTTCTACTCTTGTATTGAGCCCTTTTTAAATTGATGATATGGACGTATGAATTTTATCATTTTACATTTTAATATATATATATATATATATATATATATATATATATATATATATATATATATATATAAACGTATGCATATTTATGTTGGTCACAATTTCAAACTAGCTTTCACGACGCTTGACTTTACATTTGAATGATAACTCTAACATTTTAAAGGCATTTAAACCAACATGCCTGGCCGCGTACACAATTCCGGAAATCCTCGTTGAAAATACAAATATACTTAAACATGAAAACAATAAACAAAACCTAAAAATTCTTGAAGCTATATACATAAAACAGTTGAAACCTAACCTGAACAAAATAAACTACGAAATCACCACAAATATTCTTAAATGCCTATAATTGATATCAGAAGCCATTGGTTTATACTAAAGGCTTCCCATACTTAATACTTCTCGTTTTCACTCTCGCGTGGTCATGTTTGACGTCACTAGCTGCGATGCGATATTGAAATGTATTTGTCATCTTTGATAATGGTTTATGTAAGCCGAATGATTAGTTCGGATTTAAACATGTATCAATATGGTGATTTCCTTTCGTCTTTCAATGATAATGTTATTAAGCTTATCAGACAATATGAAAGGGATTTACTTAAAATAAATAGACACAACTTGTCTATATTATTTAATAAAACGTGCATCAATATATATACATATATATATATATATATATATATATATATATATATATATATATATGGAAGAGGTTCTTGGTCGGTTCAAGAACATTTCAATACCCTTCGTGTGAGTTTGAAAGAATACTTACAGGAATTATATGCACTGGTTTTTGTAGCATCTTGATAGTTTGGTAATGTGGACTGTAATGGTAGTCGTAATTGATTAGCGGTAATTCTTTTCCGTTTCGAACATGTTGGATATAAACTTTCTTCCCAGTCAAATGTGTGTGAAGCTGAGAGGCAAATATATGAATTCCTCTTGGTGGAAGTCCCTAAAATCAAGCATTAATTTAAAAGAAAAAAGAAAATAAAATTCAAGAAAAAAGCATACTCGTACATCAATGTATAGCACCGGTTCTATTTTCTCCTCTATCTTTATCTTCATTTCAAATACTCTTCAAATATTTCTTTTTTCTTTCTTTCTTTTCCTTCTTTCTTACACTATTTCTTTCTTTCTCACACTCTTTCTTTCGTTTTATCTTTCTTTTTATTTCCTTCTTTTTATCACTTTTCCTTCTTTTCTTTCTTTCTCACTCTTTCTTTCGTTTTATCTTTTCTTTCTTTCCCTTCTTTCTTACACTATTTCTTTCTTTCTCCACAATCTTTCTTTCGTTTTATCTTTCTTTCTTTTTCCTTCTTTCTTACACTATTTCTTTCTTTTCTCACAATCTTTCTTTCGTGTTTTATCTTTCTTTTCTTTTCCTTCTTTTTACACTATTTCTTTTCTTTCTCACACTCTTTCTTTCGTTTTATTTTTTTCTTTTTCCTTCTTTCTTACACTATTTCTTTCTTTCTCACACTTTCTTTCGTTTTATCTTTCTTTCTTTTCCTTCTTTCTTACACTATTTCTTTCTTTCTCACACTCTTTCTTTCGTTTTATCTTTCTTTCTTTTCCTTCTTTCTTACACTATTTTCTTTTTTCTTTTCACACTTTTCTTTCGTTTTATCTTTTTTTCTTTTCCTTCTTTCTTACACTATTTATTTCTTTCTCACACTCTTTCTTTCGTTTTATCTTTCTTTCTTTTCCTTCTTTCTTACACTATTTCTTTCTTTCTCACACTCTTTCTTTCGTTTTATCTTTCTTTCTTTTCCTTCTTTCTTACACTATTTCTTTCTTTCTCAATCTTTCTTTTTTTTTTATCTTTCTTTCTTTTCCTTCTTTCTTACACTTTTTCTTTCTTTCTCACAATCTTTCTTTCGTTTTATCTTTCTTTCTTTCCCTTCTTTCTTACACTATTTATTTCTTTCCCACACTCTTTCTTTCGTTTTATCTTTCTTTCTTTTCCTTCTTTCTTACACTATTTCTTTCTTTCTCACAATCTTTCTTTCGTTTTATCTTTCTTTCTTTTCCTTCTTTCTTACACTATTTCTTTCTTTCTCACAAACTTTCTTTCGTTTTATCTTTCTTTCTTTTCCTTCTTTCTTACACTATTTCTTTCTTTCTCACACTCTTTCTTTCGTTTTATCTTTCTTTCTTTTCCTTCTTTCTTACACTATTTCTTTCTTTCTCACACTCTTTCTTTCGTTTTATCTTTCTTTCTTTCCCTTCTTTCTTACACTATTTCTTTCTTTCTCACAATCTTTCTTTCGTTTTATCTTTCTTTCTTTTCCTTCTTTCTGACACTATTTATTTCTTTCTCACACTCTTTCTTTCGTTTTATCTTTCTTTCTTTTTCCTTCTTTCTTACCCTATTTCTTTCTTTTTCACACTTTTTCTTTCGTTTTATCTTTCTTTTTTCCTTCTTTCTTTATTTCTTTCTTTTCTCACACTCTTTCTTTCGTTTTATCTTTCTTTCTTTTCCTTCTTTCTTACACTATTTATTTCTTTTCTCACAATCTTTTCTTTCGTTTTATCTTTCTTTCTTTTCCTTCTTTTTACACTATTTCTTTCTTTCTCACAATCTTTTCTTTCGTTTTATCTTTCTTTCTTTTCCTTCTTTCACACACTATTTCTTTCTTTCTCACACTCTTTCTTTCGTTTTATCTTTCTTTCTTTTCCTTCTTTCTTACACTATTTCTTTCTTTTCTTATTTCTTTCGTTTTATCTTTCTTTCTTTTCCTTCTTTTTTACACTATTTATTTCTTTTCACCTTTTTCTTTCGTTTTTTCTTTCTTTCTTTTCCTTCTTTCTTACACTATTTCTTTCTTTCTGTTCTTTCTTTCGTTTTATCTTTTTTTCTTTCCTTCTTTCTTACACTATTTCTTTCTTTCTCACACTCTTTCTTTTTCGTTTTATCTTTCTTTTCTTTTCCTTCTTTCTTACACTATTTCTTTTCTTTTCTCACACTCTTTCTTTCGTTTTATCTTTCTTTTCTTCCCTTCTTTTCTTACACTATTTATTTTCTTTTTCTCTTTCTTTTCTCTTTCTTTTCTCTTTTTATATTTCTTTTCTTTTCCTTCTTTCTTTTTTTTTTTATTTCGTTCTTTCACAGTCTTTTCTTTTCTTTCTGTTTTCTTTTTTTCCTTTTTCTTTTTTTTTTTTCCATTCTTTTTTTTTCATTCTTTTTACTTTTTCATTATTTTTCGTTTTTTTTTATTTCGTTCTTTCACAATATTTCTTTTTTTTTTTTCTTTCTTTGTTTTGTTTTCTTTTTCCACTTTCCCTCTTTTCTTTTTTTTTTTCCATTCTTTTTTACATTCTTTTACATTTCTTACATTATTTTTCTTTCTTTCTTTCTTTCTAACATTCATTCGCTTTACTTTATTTCACTATTTCGCTTTACTTTATTACACTATTTCTTTTCTTCTCACATTCTTTCTTTCTTTTTTCTTTCTTTCTTTTCCTTCTTTCTTACACTATTTCTTTCTTTCTCACCATTTTTCTCTCTTTTTTCTTTCTTTCTTTCTTTTCCTTTTTCTTTTACACTATTTCTTTCTTTCTCACACTCTTTCTTTCTTTTTTCTTTCTTTCTTTTTCTTCTTTCTTACACTATTTATTTTCTTCTCACGTAGTTTCTTTCTTTCTTTTCCTTCGTTCTTACACTATTTCTTTCTTTCTTACACTCTTTCTTTCGTTTTTTCTTTCATTTTTTCACAATCTTTCTTTTTTTTTCTTTCTTTCTCACACTCTTTCCCTCTGTTTCTTTCTTTTTTCTTCCATTCTTTTTTTACATTCTCTTACATTCTCTTACATTATTTTTCTTTCTTTCTCACATTCTTTCGCTTTACTTTATTTCTTTAAATGATCTTTCTTTTTTCTTTCTCACACTTTTACTTTCTTTCTTTGTTTTTTGATTTTTCACACTTTTACTTTCTTTCTTTTCTTTTTCCTCACACTTTCTTTTTCTTTCTTTCTTTACATGCTCCTTTCTTTCTTTCTTTCTTTCTTTCTTTGTCAAATACATTCTTTCTTTGACACGGTCTTTCTTTTTTCTTTCTTACTATCTTTCACCCTCACTTTCTTTCTTTCTGGGATTGTTACTTTCTTTCTTTCTTTTACTCTTTCTTTCTTTCTTTCTTTCTTTCTCACACTCTTTCTTCCTTTTCCCTTTCTTTCTTTCTACTATTCTTTCGCTTTACTTTCTTTTTACATACTCTTTCTCTTTTTCTTCTTTCTTTCTTTCTTTCTTTCTTTCTTTTACACATTCTTTCTTTCTCAGACTTGTTCTTTCTTTTATTTCATTCTCACACTCTTTCTTTCTCAAAGTCTTTGTTTTTTCTTTCTTTCTCAAACTCTCTTTCTCAAATTCTTTCCTCTTTTCACTCATTTCTTTTTCTTTCTTCCTTTCTTTCTTTCTCATATTCTTTCTTTCTTCCACGCACTCTTTCTTTCTTCTTTCATTCTTTCTTTCTTTCTTTCTTTCTCCAATTCTTTCTTTCTTTCTTTCTCCAACTCCTTCTTTCTTTCATTTTTTCTTTGTTTATATGTGTGTGAGTTTGTATTCGTAGAAAGACATTTCAATGCATATGGGTGGAAACTTTTCAGTAGAAAAATTGCTTTTAGACGTAATGTATCAAATTGGTGTAAAAGTAATGTCCGATTTTAGAGAAGAAAGTTTTAGATGACATTTATGAATTATTATCGTTATAGTTAACAAAAGCCACAATAATTTACACATTTCTCTTTCAGATTATAAAAATATGATCTTCAGGCAATATTCGTACTCATTTCCGTCCCATCTAAACATCACATTCGATATATTATATAAGTTTCATAAAGGTGTCAATGCAAATGCGGTAGTAAAGTCTATTCAGGGCGCTGATGGAGATCATGCAGTGAATGAAAAATATTGCAGAAGGTGGTTTTCCCGTTTTCGAAATGAGGATTTCAGTTTGAAAGACGAGCAAAAAGGGTTTCGTCCAAAAATAAAATTGATTCCGAAGAGGTTTAACCAAGAATTTGTTCTGCAATATTCTTCAGTGTCTACTTACCAAAAATGATCTCAAATTTCTCAAATGATGCAGTCTGAAGCACCATCGGGAAAGAAAAAACAAAAAGAGCTAACAATTCTATCCCTCAAGGTACTACGTTAGGCAAAAAAAAGGGGCAATAAAAAAAATGGGCTGGCACCGTCACTGAGTGGACTGGAAGATTATTCACAGAGACTCAGTCATTATGACGCCCCGGATATTTGTGAAAGGAGCTGGTCAGGTGCTCAGATAAGCATGACTCTAGAAAGCTATTGTCACAGAAAATCCTACCATTATTTCTAGGAACTTGCAGAACAATTTAAAGTAGAATATACAACCGTGCTACGCCATTTATTTAGATTCAGTGGTTGGGAAATGGGTCCCACACGAACTGTCTCCAGAGAATCTGAAACTGTGTGTTGCTTGTTGTGAATCATTGCTTTCATGACACCTTCAGGCACTATTTTTAGGTAGGCTTGTTATAGGTGATGAGAAGTGGATACTTTATCATAACGTTAAACGTCGCCGATCGTGGAACAGTGATGGAGGAAAATCAGTTCAACAACCATGAGGAGGACTTCATCCAAAGAAGATCATTTCGAGTGTATAGTGGAATATTGAACGAATTATCTATTACGCACTGTTAAACAACAATCAAACAATTACAAATAATCTTTACTGTGATCAACATAATCGTTAGAAAACAGCTTTGAACCAAACGCGACCTTCCTTAGTGAACAGAAAGGGTGTCATCATCCATCACGATAATGTTCGTCCACACACAGCTCGGCTGACTAAAAATCTCTTAGAAGAGTTTGTTTGGAAAATATTGCTTCAACCACCATATTCTCTTGACCTTGCTCCTTCTGATTATCACTTGTTTTGGGGACTACAGAATCATTTGGATGAACTTAGGTCGACATCAAAAGAAGATGTTGAAAATGAGTTGGATTCATATTTTGCTTCAAAACCTAAGGAATTTTACATTTATAATCTTGCTGAGAAATGGAACGATGTTCCAGAAAACAAAGGAGGTTATGTTAACGAATAAATATTTTAATAATCATGGACTTTTTCATTTTTAATATAGACCTTTTGCACCAACCCGATAAATTATGGATTACAGTACGTCGTCGTTTATCTGAACATCTAGAGACAATATGTTCGGATAAGTCAAAATTCTTTATAAATGAATGCCTAAATTAGCTTAAAAGAACGAAAAAATATTTTCTGAAATAAATTTAACATTTGTTTTATCAAATATCATTTTCAAAATCTTTGTTCAAGTTTCTCTCCAGTTTATTTTTTATGAAAAAAAAGTGAAAAAATTTCTGTTTGGCCTCGCATTTTTCTGAGGTCAATTTCCCGAACGTAGATTAAATTGTTTGTATTGTGTTTCTTCTGTTTGAAGTGTGTTAAATGACTTTGCTGTGTGCTGGGCAAACAAAAAGTCCTTGCATTTCTCATTTACGCACAATTCGCGTCTGTCCCGCGCATCTGAAACTTGCGTGAAACTGCCGTGACCAAATTAGAGTAATTCAAATGTATGTTCTTTTGTAAGAAAGCAACAAGAAAATTAAAAAGAATTCATTAAAACAAAACCGAATTTCTTCTTTTATTAAGAAATAGAAAATTTATACGAAAAATGTTGTAGGGTAAAAAAAAATAGTCAGAAAAATATTTGGGCAAAAATGGACATTCGTGTCCGAAAAAAAAAAAGACAAAGTGTCAAAAGGACGGTTTTCCCCTTGACACCGCTATCATTTTAACTACCTTCACTCCTCAGCAATGTTTATTGTTTTAAAAAGCAGTGATTAGAATTGTAATAAAACTTGAAAAATAAAATATGATGAAAGAGAATTTATACATTTTCTTTGTTCTTGAAAATTGAAAATAAAAATATTAAACACTATTTATTTATTATATTAGTTATTGGAATGGTTGGCTAAATATCGGCTAATTGCCAATTGATTCGATCTTTATAAAATGGTAAATAATAAGGATTTCCTTATAGTTGCTTTAGATATCTTAATAATTTAGTAAATGTTTATGAATTTATTAATAAAGATTGTTTTCAGATTTATTTCTTTATAAATTGGTAAATGATAAATATTTCATTGCATAGTTTTAATTATATTAGTTTTTAGAATATTGCAAATAGAAAATTATTCTTGCAAATATAATATCTAATAAATAAATAGTGTTTAATATTTTTGTTGTAAATTCTCAAGAACAACAAATGTATAAATTTAGTTTCCTCATATGTTTGGTTTTATTACAATTACTAATCATCACTTTTTAAAACAATAAGCATCGCGATGAGAGAATGTAGTTAAAATAATAGGAAAATCGTCAAGGGTAAAACTGTCCTTTTGACACTATTGCGGTCCATGTTTGCCAATATTTTAATGGGTAAAACATGAATTCATATGAATAAAATTATTTTTCTTACAATAATGTTCACCCTGTACAACACTCAAGAGCCACTCAAGGTGGAGGGTAAGAGGCACAGTTATGGAGATATATAGGGAAGATAACAAATAACCCCAGACTTGTACCAGTCAATATTGTAGTGATCGGGTAAGCATCCCATTGGGAGTCGATTCCACAAAGCAGCGGTTCGCGGGAAGAAGCTGCTCGAGTGGAACTTACATCCCATCAAAGAAATATGAAGGGAATGAGGATGGTTCGCTACAATGGGCGTGGCAAGACGAGTCTAAGCTATAAAGGTTAAAACTAGTAGAACTAAGGAATGTAGTTTGTCTGAAGACTTTCCATTAGAGCAACGTGAGGCTTGAGATCTTTCGTCTGTGAGGAAAGGGGTTGTAGGGTGGAAAATAATTTGTCACCCACAAGGACGCGGTGATCCTTTTGGATTCTATCGAAACTGAAAACTGAAGACTGGATAGCTCCTGCCCCTATGTTTCAGCAGTACCCCATTTTTGGCCTTTTCTGGATCATGTAAAATTTGAGGATAGCAGGAGGAGTCAGGTACGTAATGAAACGTTACAGGGACCCTACCATTTTCCCAACATCTTTATCGGTGAATTATATATACGAATAAATTTGAGGTCTGAGTTGAGATTAAATCCCAGCAGGCGCTCAAGGCACGGGGACTCCCTGAGAGAGCACTTGTTCATCGTGATAATTTCAGGGTCCGCTCGGTGATGATGTGACATCACTAGTTTGGTTTTTAAGTTATTGAAAGTCACCAGCCAGTCACCACCCCACACACACAGAGCTGTTAGACCTAGATCAGAGAAGAGATCAGCTGGCAAGCTCCTGTCATCTTGTGTTGCAGCCATATACCGTTGTATCATCAGATCCTCACAAA